CCCCGCTTCCGGCCGCCCCGCTTCCGGCCCTCATTCAGCCAGGAGGAGGCAGGAGAAGAGGGAGGGTAAGTTGCTTCCTCCCTGCCTCTCCCCACCCCTGCCTGCCTGGGGCCAGGGAGGGCCTTCGCGGGGCTTCCTTGCACTCCCGCCGGCCTTGCAGGTCCACCGCCGGTGCAAGGCCGGGACCGTTGGGGGCGGGGTGTGTGGCCTCATGACACACTTCCGGTGATGTCAGGGGGAGTGGCATATGCTAATGAGTTATGCTAATGAGTTCCCCTAGCTCTTTTTCTACGAAACGACCCCTGCGATGGAGCCCTGTTTGAAGTTTGTCGAGTCTTAAAATAGAAAAAAACGGGTCAGATCCAGGCAGCTTTTACACTCAATCTCATACAATCCCCCCCAATCTACAGCCCCCACATTCTGCAGACCCCCTGAACTCCAGCATAGCCTTTTGGGGGGGATCAAAGGGGAGCCCTTCCTTCCTTTTTCACCGGCAGAAATGGTGGTGGGATCCAAGCCAAGATGGTGCCTGATGCAAAGCAGATATAGCGAGGGTTGCTGGGACAGAGAAGCAATGAACAAACAAATAAAACTTAAAAAGCCACTATCTGTCTGAACCCAAGAAAACCAGCAGCAATGTTCCCTCTAAGCTGTGGGGTCTTGTGAGCAAAAATTCTACTTTGTGAGCTACTGCCATTCAAGTTGTGAGCGAGCAGTTTGGCTGCTGCATGAATTAGTTTGCTCTGGAGCCATCCTTCCTGAGCTAACACAAAAACCTGTGAGCTGGAGGCTACAAAACTGTGAGCTAGCTCACACTAACTCAGCTTAGAGGGAACACTGACCAGCAGCCAATCAAACCCCTCTCCAACTCTAATGGAAACACAGAGGTAAGGTAGAGATCAGACAAGAAAGCCAAGAGCTGAGAACCCCTGAGCCTATGTCCTCATGTGACGAGGAAAGTGGAAAGCGCCGCTTCAGCTTCTTGCTCAAGAATGTGAAACTGGATTCCTGACTGCTGCAAGAAAGAGCTTGCTGGAAGATTCTGAATCGCTCCCTCCCCTCTGGGCATCTGAACAGGGAGGCTGCACCCACCCTGGGACACCGGCAGGGGCAGAAGCAGGACACCCACATCGTATTCCCCTGCTTTTCCTTGCCATTCCCCCTCCACCACCGGAGGGCTATTAAACATTATGACACAATGCTGTGTCAATCACCTTTGTTTACACTTTTTTGAGACAGATATATGTTGTTATAATTTCAAACTGGTAACTAACACATTACTAGTACTGCTTAATACTGTTTTACCCAAAGGGCCTTTCAGGACTGAAGTGGGGACTTGAGATATAAATGCTCAGCTTAGCGTTAAGGGAGCCATGCTTGCCTGCTTTGTAACTTTTGTTCGCTTTGCAAGAAGGAGAAGTATGGATTTGTGCTTAAGACGGCTTATCTAAAGGAAGCTGGTGAGCAAATGTCTGGGTTAGTAATTCTTTCTCGAACTACTGTGAAAACCAAAGATGCTGCGCTTAACACAGACTGTTCCTGGAATCGGGGAGCTGTCAGCAGTAGAAATTTATGTGGACTTTCAGGTACAGAAAAGGACAAAACGACAGATATTATGTAACCGATGCCTATGATTGTCTAGGCCTTCCTCAGTTGAGTGTGACCGTTTCCAGACTTGTTTCTGTGATTGCCTTCGCCTGGCAGATAAAGAGCTTTTAATTAAACCTCTTACCTGGGTTGTCTGCTTCATAGGACCCCAGCAGCCAAATGAACCCCATGGACTTCCATGACCACACTAAAGCGATGTATCGGTTACCGATTTGTTTTAAAAGCAAGAAAAAGAAACCTTAGTGGTGCCAGGAGGGGGCAGAGATGGCAGATGTGGCGACTGAGGCAAGGGAAAGGGCACTCATGCAAGCAGGACCTGCAAAAACACACCCCTTCTTCCCCCCCCCCCGGTGCGCAAAGGCACTGTGTTGATTCACAGGGCAGTGAAGTGGTTAAATTGTCAGATGAGGATGTGGGAGGCCCAGGTTCAAATCCTCACTCAGTTATGGAAGTTTGCTGGGTGACCTGGGACCAGTCACATACTTTCAGCCTAACCTATCTCCCAGGGTGATTGTGCGGATAAAATGAAGAAGGGGGAGGTATGTTTGTCAGCCACTGGGTCCTCACTGGAGAGAAAGACGGGGTAGAAATGAAGCAAAAATAAAGTTAAAATAATAAAGATCATAGCAAAAAAAAGATCACAGGAAAGCGCATGGGAAACACGGGAAGAGGACAATTAGGGGACAAAGCTGTGTGGATGTTCCAAAATGTCCCGCTCCAGCTTAGACCAAAGCGACACATAAAAAGACACATACCGTAAGTGGTCTCTAGATCAAATCAAGCCTGAACTCTCCCTAAAAGCTACAATGACTAAACTGAGGCTATCGTACTTTGGTCACCTTATGAGAAGACAAGAGTCACTGGAAAAGACAAGGATGGCAGGGAAAGATGAAGGCAGCCAGAAAAGAGGAAGACCCAGCGTGAGATGGATTGGCTCCATCGAGGAAGCCACGAGGGCCCTCCGTTTGCCAGGCCTGCCAAGGCTGCTAACAATGGGATGTTTGGGAGGTCGTTCGTTCACAGGGTTGCCATAAGTCAGAAGCGACTCGACGGCACTTAACATACTCACAGTTCAGACACAAAACTGGAGCAAACCCCCCATGCGGAAGCAACCTTACAGAGTATGCTTTATAAACCTGTTAACAATCTGTTCATGGCAAGTTCACCGTATGCATAACTTGAAAGGTGAGAGACAGTTTTGCATTTCGGGCCTCTGAGAAACGGCCGATTCTGACTCCTCATTTCCCCTAAGATGAAGCCTTCCGAGGCCATCCACAGACATGCGTACCCTTCAAGCCATTCTGGATCTGCAGTCAACCCTTTGCAGCTGGACAGGCAGGCTCGCAAGCCACAGACTGTTTCTGGTTCCCAGGAGAACGGGGCTGTGCAGACTGCAGACTGGCTGGATCTCGTGGCAAGAGGGAAGCCATTCCTTCTCCTCCCCCCACCCTGCTCTTGCCCAGGTTTGAAATGTCAAACAGCCCTCCACCTAAAAAAATCCAAAGGAATTGGCTCTTTTTAAAAAAAAAGTGCTAAAATGTTTCGTAGAAAACCCAAAAGCCTGTCTCAAGCATGAGGATGGGGGCAAAAATCTATGCTGAAGTGGGGGCAGGTGCCGGTATCAGGAGAAGAACAACGCTGTGACAAGGACACCTTTCGGCAGCAAGATACGCACCAACCTGGGAGAAAACACGTCTCAGAGCTGCTTGGAAGAAGCAGAAGCGGCAGCAGAAGGAAAGGAGGAGGAAGAGTTAGAAGCAGCAGCAGCCACCGCCAAGTTTCTCTGTGCCACCTGAAAATCTCTGTTGGTCTGCCTGTCTGCCTGCCTAAGGGAGGACCCTTATGGCTGATTTCAGTAGCCTGAAGGACTCTGAACTGTGAGAACATACCCCTGTCCTTTTCTGAAACTGAGCCCATCAAAAACACAGGAAATCAATGCCCACCCTCCTTCCTTTGCCCAAGCACTCCTCTCTCGCACCCAGTCCTTGTTTATCTAGCACATCACACATTTAGAAGAAGAAGAGGAGATTGGAATGCCCCACCCTTCTTCACG